CCCTGAGATGTCCTGAGAAGACCCAGCCCTTGTGCTTCTGACTCGGGTCTCCCATCAGAGCGCTGCTTCCAAAATGATACTTTTCAAAGGAAGTGGGCTCCCCGCCACGCACCGTCGTCCCTTTGGGCGTTTAAAACCACTATCGACTTTCTGGGGATCCGCCCGCCAGAGAGTGGGTGTTCTCACGGTCCTCCCACGTGGCCAAGCGCCTGGCGTGGCTTCAAAAGCTCACTTATGGAAGATCATTGCTTCCAAGTTTTATAAAAACACTGAAGACAACCTCGAAAGCAGCAGTCAGCCCCTATCACCACACGGCTGTCAGGTGACCTGGAGTCACGGCTCTCTGGCCTCGGGGCTTGATATGCAGGTAGGAGAGGACGCTTGGTCTGCCGGGCTTGTGTTCCGCTGGCCAGACACTCGTCCTGGACAGAATCTGCAACCCTGATTCCTCAGTATTTCCTGAGCTGTTGCAAGGAGACAGCTGATTTTCAGGTGTGCTCTGCCTGGTTTTGGCTTCGTGAGCGCTCGCCTAGCTTAGAGAAGCAGGCCATGAAAGGCCCCTTCCTCGGCCTCTCTCCACGCTGTGGCGTGCAGATGGCGGAGCCCACAGCAGGGGCTGAAAGAAGGCTTCCTGCTTTCCCTAGCCAGGCAGTGGTGAGTGAGTGAGTGAGTGAGTGAGTGAGTGAGTGAGTGAGTGAGTGAGTGAGTGGATGCATTAAGAGAATGAATAAGATAATCCGTCGTCAAGTGGCCCACTTTTCCCGGCTTGCCTTGATCACTCCTCATTCAATGCCTGAGTTCCCGGGGCCACTCCCTGAGGCATCCTCACTGCTCAGCCAGGCTGGCTTCCTCTGGGACCCACGGGTGGGTGCCTCTGTGCTTCTGGGTCACCCTGGGTCTTGGTTCAAGCACCCTATGCAGAGTGAAACTATGTGTTATGAGCTAGAGCATGTTGCTGCCAGTTTTTTCCTTGTATTTTATTCCTAATGATGAAGGGTAAAGCAGATTTTCAAATAAAAGCACTGAGTTAGGAGCGCAACGGGGAAGAAGCTGAGAACCATCACCGCAGGTCAAAAGCCAGCCCTCTGCCAACCAGAGCTGCAGTAGACTCTGATGGCCACTAGAGGGGGCGACACAACCTCTCAAAGAGCATCATTGGGGGAAAAAACATCTAGTATAGAAATTCTGTCCTGGGCACGCCCTGGCATCACTCGCTGCTATAAAATTACTGGAGCTACTGCATTATATAATGTCCGACTAACCAGAACAAGCTGAAACAAGGCTAGAGCTGTAGGTTGCTAAGCATTAGACTTTTAGAAAAATGACCCCTCCTCTCTAGCTCAAATTTTTCACATCCTTTATGTACATGCCACTAGCTTTAAAAATTAACCGTAAATAGAAGAAAAGTATTTTCCCTGTGGATGACAATTGAATCTATTAAAAATTGACCTGGAAAGAAAACAAAACAATAGCTTAAAGAATGAAAAATTAATTTCTCAAGCTGTGTGCAATTATTTCCTGCCTCCAGCCACATTTTTTTTTTGTGAAAACACATTTGACTGTTGACATATTCAATTTCATCTCCACCAGTAAAGAACCTCAAGGCATGTGCAGGCTCATCGGGAAGTCACAGCAGATAGAATTATGATCCTATTGGTCAAGTTTCAAAGGCTTCATATGTAACTGAGTGCAGGAAGAAAGAAATTTCCCACAAACATCTTCTCCCCAAAGGTTGGAATAATGCACTAAATATTTTCAGGGCCATTATAAGCCACAGATGTTATCAGCAGTCAGGATCGTGCAAACTTAGAAGACCTAGTCCACAAGGACTCTGCTTTAAAAATAGATTTAGAGGCCCTCCCTGGTGGCGCAGTGGGTTAAAGCACAGCACTGAGAATCTAAAGCCACTTCCGCATGAGTTCGATTCCCGCCTGCCCCAGAGGTGACCCACGTGGCGCGGCAGACCTCTCCTGACCCGCCCTCTGCTCCCCTCAGCAGTGTACTTCGTCGATCTGCCTGTTCTGTTCCCCACTCTGTCTCTGGTGAAGCCTCTCACCACCCCTGAGCCTCTGGCCTGCACCCCAGTTCTGTATGCACAAATAAATAAATCTTTAAAAAAAATAGATTTAGAGCATTTGAGAGGACAAGTTAATTCCCCTTTGGAAGTCACATAAGCAATGCCCGGGCCTTAAGGCGAGTGTGAAGAGGGACCAGCTCTGGCTCTGTTCCGAGGCCCAGAAGTGGTGGGGAGCCTCCAAATGGCCATCAGAAATAAAGGGACAAAAGCAGGAACTTGGAAACAGAGCAATTCAAGAAAGGAACTCTCAGAACAACTGGGAGTAAAGTTAAGTGGGCCAGGGAGAGTTCTGGGGCAGAGAAGATTCTAGACTCTGCCCTGTCTGGAGGGTTTACACTGGACCGTCTGGGCTGGGCCTCTCCACTCACCAGCCCGGAAATATAACGTGGAATGTCCACACTGAGAAAGAAAACTTGCAAGATGAGGCTGGTTGGCTGAGGACTTTCCCGAGAGCCTCAAAACCCTGGGCGCTGGCCCTGTGGGGGGCAGGGGGCAGCCGACGTGGAGGGCCAGTCACGATTTATGCAACCGAGTGAAAAACCCAATACTTAGTGATTTTTTCCTACAGTTGTATCTTTTCAATAGTCTAATTATATTCTAATTGTCATGGTGACCCTTCTTCCTTCCAGGGACTCAGGCACACTTCTGAACATTCTCCATCGGTGTCCTCGTTCACTGATTCAGAGAACTGGCGAGTCTCTGTGAGCTGACATGACAGGGCTGGCATCCAACTCGATCGCACTCAGTTTCTTCCCACCAGACCACTCCGGCCGTCAGCTCCTGAGATAGTCCCAGAGGAATTCTCCACGGAGCAAGCCCTCTCCCAATTACTGCAGACACCCTCGCCCGGCTTCCCCCTCAGGCCTGTGTGATTTCCACATAATTTCCAGTCTGATAGGCAAGCCTCCCCCTCCCTCCCGACCCTGCTGGGTCCAGCCAAGGACCCAAAGGTGGGGTCCACTCAGCTGTGCAGCAGGAAAGCCCTCAGCAGTCCTGGGGCAGGGGTCCGAGCCAGTCTGCCTGCATTCCTGACTCTCAAGGCCCCAGGGCAAGTCACTTCACCGCCTCATTAGGATCACAGTTACAGCCCTGTCAGGCCTCCCTCCCAGGTGCCTGGTCGCCCCATTAATATCTGTAAGGAGCCATTAAGCCTTCTAGCTGGAAGGCACCATAAAAGCAAAACCTATCACTATCATCATCAATAAGCCCCAAGGCCCTCTGCCCTGTCACCACCTCAGCTTCTCAGTTACCCAGGTGAGAGATGGCCTGGCCCTGGGCGGCCCATCCACTCCCTAATGAGCTGCCTGCTGCAGCCCTGAAAATGGCCTTGACACTGACAGGGCACCTGCAGGGAGGAAGCAAAGCCAGCCTGCTACTACAGCCAGTGCATGGCACTGTCAGCCTCTCCCCAGGCCGCCTCCCACCTGCCCACAAAGCGCCTGCAGCCCAAGCCCTCCCACCTCTAACACTCCACTCGATCCTGCCCCCAGTTGGAAGAGCCTGGAAATGCAGAGGCTGGTGCCCTGAACTGCTGGCTGCTTGTACCTGGGGCCCTGCCTGCTCCAGGCCTCCGGATCACCCACTTCAAAGCCCAGCCAGGCCAGGGAGGCGCTGTCTAGAATGACCCTACACTGAGGACAGCCTGTGCCTGGAACAGGGGTGACCTAGATAGGTCCTGGTGTCCCACAGCACCCCACAGTGCGGCCCTGGCAAGGCCCAGACCGTGCCCTGCAGACCGCGCCCTGCCACATCGCCGTCACACATATGTGGTTCGACCGCCATCAATGACAGGGCCGGGCTCGTTATGGGATGGCGTCATACAAACGTCACCGAGCACGTGACACACACCTGGAGGGGACAGCGGGCCGCACATCTAGGCTGGCGCAGCCCACAGGCCATTGCACGTTGACTGGATCATCACTGACATGGGGCTGAACCCCGAAGGCTCTTCTGAATACCCAGCCAGGTGTACACCCCACCTCAAAAGAATGTCTTCAAGTGGTCTTCTGCTGAAGGCAGGAAATTAAGCTTCTTCTCTATTCCAGGGATCTGTTCAGGTTGTAAACGGGGAGCTCCTTAGTCCCAGGGAGCTTCTGATTTAGCAAACTGGGGGAGATCTTTTTGAGCAGGAGCGTCTAGAGGTCACGTCCTGCGGAAAAGCAGGAGGCCCTTGATCAGAAGCTGGAAGGTGCCCAGTGACACACCTGGGGTGAGGTCTCACCTGTTCTCAGGTGTGGTTCTGGGCGTTCAGGAAGGAGCCCGGCTGCTCCCAGGTCACAGGGCGGTGTGAGCAACAAGGTGCCAGCTTTACTAGTGAGGCCCAAACTGATATGCTGTGAAAATACAACACCTACAGCTGGGAGGCAGGATTATAAAGTTAAATGTGTGGGTAACTTACCGCTGTAAAGTTTTTTGGGTTTTTTTTGTTTGTTTTTTGAGGAGAGACAGGCACAGACAGTATTATGACAGGCTCCGACGTGTACTTAGATATTTCTTCCACCCCAGTGGGACTATAAAGAAGAGGAGGCATCTACTCGTGACCGACTGTGGTGGGGCCACTCGCTACAAACGTCACAGAGTTGGTTTCAACACGTGGGACCATGAGCTACGGGGTCAACGCAGAAGGACTCTGCACCGAGGTCAGTTCAGATGGTGGTGTCCTGTCTATTCCAGAAGCTTCCCTGTTGGAAAGGGGAGCCTTCTACGTACAATGTTCTGAAATGTTCGCCGACACTTTGGTCGTGTCTTTAACAAAGATATTTGTCGGCAGCACCCAAATAAACTGAATAAGTAACTTGGTTGGGGTTTGCTGTTAAAAAAACAGGGGGCAGGAGGGAGTTGTACAGGCCCCCCCGCCGGGCAGCCCTCACTCCTTTATTCCTGAGACGGCAGCAAACACGTCCCCGGGTGCCTGGCGCGCCCATCAGTCCGTCTGCACGTCCTGACCAACGGGAGCAATAACTGGACCCAGGTGCACGTCCGTGTCCTCTGGCTTGCGGTCTGGAGGTCTGGACCGCTGCAGCTGAATCTTCAGCCAGATGTTGCCTCGCTGGCCCCAGGCTCCGGGGGGCTCCACCTCCCACAGGCGCCCCTGCTCCTCTGGATGGGCCAACAGGAACTTCCTGCAGACTGCGGAAGGGGTACAGGCCCGAGTCACAAAGACCTGTGACCCCAGGGCACAAGGACCAGCCTCTGCCGCCCCAGTTCTCCCGGCCGCGCCTGCCCCACCCTCTGTGGGCTCTGACCCCAGCCACCTGCCAACCACCTGCTCATCAGCTCACACATGCGCCTCACCTGCCATCCCAGGCCCCACTGTCGCCCACCCCACCATCGCTGGCTGCAGCTGCTGTGCAGAGTGCCAGCCAGTGGGCGCTGACACCACACATGTTTACTTCCTCGGGTTCTGGAGCTGCCACGTCCAAGGTCAAGGTGTCCCGAGGCCCCACTTGGCCGCCTTCCCCCGTGGCTCATGTGTCTGCCCTCAGTATCTGCCTGCCCGACCGCCTCTTCTTGTCAGGACAAGGCCCCACGGGGTTAGGAAGCCTCTTGCAGGACCTCATCGAGCCCCGACCTGTTTAAAGACCCGTGTCCAAACACAGTCAAGTGGGGTTGGGGCTTCAGCGTAGGAATTTGGGGGCCCACTTGAGGGAAGATACACTTTCACCTGCTTTTCTTAGATTTCAGAGCAACGAAGTTTCCTACCTTCTCTCTTCTACCGTCTCCCCAAATTATAAGGACACCAAACGAAAGAATTTGGGGGGTGGGGCAAAATGCTGCCCATGCTATCACCCAGCCCAGTCTTCCCCACTCTCCCACAACCCCCAGATGCCTCTGTCCTCCTCTAGCTCATTCTCCAGACAGGGGGACTCCAGAGTCCCCTCGGGCTGGGAGACCTCTGTGCCCTCATACACGGGTGAGCATTTTGACATGGCTGTGCCCCAAGTCAGCCAAAGGGATGCGGCCTCCGGCCCCCGCAGATGCCCTCAAGGCTCCACCAGGCCTTGCCTGACACTGTGGTTACCAAGGCAACAGGCAGGTGGGCAGAGCCTACAGCTAAGTATTGGGCAGGTGCAGGTTCAGCTAGCAGAGGGCCAGCTAGAACGTTCTGCTCTCCTGTCTTGACAAATATAACTTCAGAACAACAGGAAAAGCCAGCTTCAAATTTAGAATTCTTGGATGTCTTAGTTTTGCACCAGAACATGGCAACACAAAGCATACTGGCTGCTGCCAGCTGCCCACGCCGCCTCCTCCTCCCGCCCCAGCCCAGTGCACTCGCTGCAAGAGGCCCCCACATGGCTGTGGACCCCCAGACCACACCCCACCACCCACTGGCTGCTGTCCCTAGAGACTAAAAGCATGCAAACTGGTAGTGTGGCCACCCTTGGGTGCACAGATCCAGGGAGGAAGCCCATCCAGGTCTTCGGTGGCCACTTGCAGGAATCTAGGGGTTCCAGTATCATTGGTCTTATCCAGCCTGTAACCTTGAAATGAAGCATCTGTGCATTTTGTGTGGTCCCGAGCCTACTTATTCAAATTAGAACCACACCGCCAGCCCTCTGGGTCTCCCGCTTCCCTGTGATGGACCTTGGGAGGTGTCTTAGTCGCCATGAATCCATCCCACAGCCCCACAGCTATCCACACACGCATGCACACATGCACACATGCTCACACACACACTATTCTATTGGCTGATTCTCTGCAGAACCCTGACAAGTAGAGGGACCTACAGGCCAAGTGTGCAGGAGGGAGGAGGTCTCTGGGAAGAGTTGCACGGTGCTGGGACTCGTGCATTTGGAGTGTGTCTCCCCCCAGCTGCTGCTGGCCCTGAAGCCCCTGCTCCCCCAGGCTTCTGGTGGAAAGGGCAACATGATGAACCCCAAGTTCACATGCAGGAGCAGAGGCAGACTGAGGGCCCAGCGGAGACGGGGCAGCCCCTCCAAACCGCCCTCTTTCTGTGGCTGATCCGTTTCTTATCATTTCTAAATCCAAATATTTCTCAAGCTGGGCCAGGCTCACCCCTGGGGCTCCAATGCATAATCCCTTTTGTGCTGAAGTGGGAGCTTTAGAGGCGAGGGGTGGGGCAGGGAGAGGAACAGAAATCCCACCTGCCATCACCATGCCGACCCCTCCCAACCCCACCCGAGCCAGCCGGAAGGCTCCTGTGTAACCCGCCCTCCTGCCCAAACGCCCCACCTGGCACAGGGCGGGTTTACCTTGGAACATGGCAGGAGAAATCGGGCAACTGACCCCCAGGGCCTCTTCCTCCCGGAAGGTCTGGCAGAAGTCCTGCAGCATGGCCAGGCCCAGGCCTCGGCGGCGGTGGCTCCTTCTGACAAACACGGTATCGAAGACCGGCAGCAGGTAGCACGCACCTGTGCCGTCGCCACACAGGCTGCCTGCAGGGAAGGCAAGAGCGCGTGCTGGCCCCTGGCTGTGTGGCCTGGGCCTTGCGGGACTCCCGCACAGCCCAGTCGCTGGGCCCGCCCGGAAGTGGGCAGGACTCCCAAGGCAAACAGGCAAAGACATAAGAGCAGGTCACCCTGAAGCACCAGGTCTCTGGCCCACATCTGCCCACTGCCAGGCAGCCCCAGGAGATCAGCGCGGGGCTAGAGCAAGGCCGCCCAGGGGCCCCCACACTCGCCGGGCCTCCCCTCCCCGTGTGAATGCAGTTAAAGGACAGGCGGAAAAGACGCAATGACGACTGCAATAAAGAGACCAGTGGGTGTCAAGGGGTTGGGGGGACCAGGAGTGACTTGGTGGCACACAGAGTATTTTTGAGAGCAGTGAAATTTTTTGCAAGATGCTCCAGTGGTTAATATTTGTCGCTATACATTTGTCAAAACACCCGAAGAATGAGCCTACTATAAATACACACTTTAGCCTCACGGACTGGATTGTGTCTCCCCAAAAGTACACTGGTGTCTAAAACACCAGAACCTATCAGGTGACGGTATTCAAATACAGGACCTAGAAAAGCGGTGATGAGGTTGAAATGAGCCCATTCACGTGGATACAAGTGCAACCCTACTGGTGCCCCTGGAAAAAGAGGAAACGTGAGCCCAGAGACAGCAGGGGTTGACACGCCAGAGAAAAGACCCAGTCTGGGCACAGCAAGAAGGGGGCCATCTACAAGCCGGGAGGTCTCAGAGGAGAATCCTGCTGGCACCTTGATCTGGGTCTCTACAGCCTCCAGAACCGGAAGAAACTTAAGTTACCTGAACTGTAGTATTTTATTCCAGAAGCCTGAGGAAAACCTACGTGTGTCAATACTGGTCTATGAACTGTAACCAATACATTTCATTAATGCAACATGTAAATAATAAAGGGAACTGTCGTGTTGCAAATTCTGTACTTTCTGCTCCATTTTCCTATAAATCTAAAACTGGTCTTGAAAATAAAGTCTGTTACATTTTTTTTTATTATTATGCATACAGAACTGGGGTACAAGCCAGAGTTGCAGGGGTGGTGAGAGGATTCACCAGTGTGGGGAGCAGAACAGACAGACTGACCAACTACACTGCTGAGGGGAGCAGTAGGTGGGTCAGGATTGGTCTGCCGCACCCTGTGGGTCACCTCCGGGGTGGGGGATCAAACTCACACCAAAGTGCTGCAACCAGCTTGCAGTGCTGCGCCCCAACCTGCCGTGCCACCAGGGAGGGTCCAAGTCAGTTAACTTTTTAATATACTAGGTATTTTTTAATGAAGTTGGGTCCTTGTCAGATGGACAGACAGACAGACAGACAGACAGACAGACAGACAGACAGACAGACAGACAGACAGACAGACAGACAGATAGATAGATAGATAGATAGATAGATAGATAGATAGATAGATAGATAGATAGATAGATAGATAGATAGATAGAATGCATACAAGAACTGGGGTACAGGCCAACTGTGCAGAGGGGAGAGAGTTCACCAGAGACAGAGTGGGGAGCAGAACAGGCAGATTCACTCCTCTTACTGCTGAGGGGAGCAGCAGGGAGACAGGAGAGGTCTGCTGTGCCCTGTGGGTCACCTCCCTGGCCGGGGATCAAACTCATGCTGCAGTGGCTGGAGATAGCTTGATAGCACTGAAACTTATAACTGAAACTTGTAACTCATATCAGGGAGATCCCACTAAGACTTTTAGAAGAACACAGAGAAGAAAACCTCACAACTTGGGTTAAGCAAAGAGTTCAATGCTGAAAGCACAATCCATTGACAAATATGACTTCTTGAAAATTACATTTTGTACTTCAAAAGACATCACTAAGAGATGAAGACAGTCCATAGATTTTAAGAAAATGTAAGTCACATTTCTGAGAAAAGACATATCCAGATTAGATAAAGAACACTTTTTAATTTTTTTTCTTTTACTGAGGTAACAGCTTGACATACTTTATATGATTTAGAGACACAGATTCACACTTCTTCAAATAATGTTATCACACCACACCTACAACCAAAACACTAAAAAGCCTCCAACGCAGTTCGGTGAACCCCCTCCCCGCCATTACTCTAACCCCCAGACCTCGCCCCTCTGAGCGCCAATACACAGTCATATCTCGTGGGTTTGTTTTAGTTTAGTTTGTTCCTTTGCTTCGTTTCTTTTATACAAAGAACTCTTGCAATTCAGTTTCAAAAGCAAGCAAGCAAAACAGACAGTCTGAGCTGACATTTCTTCAAAGAAGGTCTACAAATGATTAAAAACCAGTGGAAAGACATTCTGCATCAGCATTATTAGTCATTAGGAAGATGCAAACTAAACCCACAAAGAAATGCTACTTTTGACCTACTAGGCTGACTATTCTCAAGGAGACGGGAACCAGAGACCGCTGACAGGACATGGAGCTATTGGAAACGCGTAGGTTGCTGATGGGAACATATAATGGTACAGTCACTTGGTGAGATAATCTGGCAGTTTCTTTAAAAGTTACACATAAGCTTACCAAATGAACCAGCAATTCTACTCCTAGGAAGCCACCCATGAGAAATGAAAACACATGTCCATCCAAAGACTCGTATGCAAATGTTTATAGCAGCATTACTCATAATAAACCCAAACTGGAAACCCTACTGGTAAATTCATGAGCAACATGTGGTATATTCATACCATGGAACACTATTCAGCAATAAAAAGGAATGAAATGCTAAGATATGCTACCACTTGGAGGAACCTCAAAAGCACCAACTAAGTGAGAGAAGCCAGCTGCAGAAGACCACACATTATATCATTCCATTTATATGAAATGTCCAAGAAATGCAAATTGATGAAGACAGAAAGCTGGTCAGAGGTTGCCTCGAGCCGAGCTGGAAGCAGAGGATGACAGCAGGCAGGCAACTTTGGGGGTGATCGCCATCCCTATTCTGGATGGTGGTGATGATTACACAACTTCTTAAATTTGCTAAAAATCACTGAGTGGTAAACTTACAAGTGGCAGATTTTATGGGTTGTAAAATGATCCATCAATCAAATTAGCTTCTAAAAGATGCAATGAATTATATTAGAGTTGCTCAAGTCTGGAAAGAGGAAAACAGCCACTTTACAAAGGAGAAGCCTGGCAGGACACGAAGTGTGACTAGCATGAACCCTCACGTTGCCTGTGAGACCGGCCCTCCCATTCCCCAGGCCACACCCAGTCACTCGTGAGAAACCACCACACAGACCTAAATTAAGGATCATTCTATCCATTTCCTGGTCAACATTCCTCAAAAGTGCCCAGATGGTAAAAGATCAGTCAAACCAAGAAATGGGCACAGATTGGGAAAAGAAATGTAGGGAGAGCTGAAGATGAAAAAGACACTGCTGGAAAATGAATCAAAGTGAATGTGTTAGCTGAGATCACTGGATGGTGGTTATCTAAACGCCAACACGCACGGGCAGTAACTGGAGCTTGCTCTGCATCTCTTATCTCTTCTGGAGATCTAAAATTAACTCAAAATAGAGAGCTGGGGGGAGGGGGGCGGGGCTGTAAGAGAACAGAAACACTCCACCAGCCTCTCCTGAAGGCTTTTCACACTTTCAGATTAGTCCAATAAAACCTACCTTTAATATCAATTCCCAAAGCTGAATCACTTTTTAATAATATTAATTAATTGCAGTAAAACTATGACAACCTAATTGTGAGCAGGAGTGAGGCTATTAGCCAATGGTATTAAAAATGACTCTCCACTCGCAGTCAAAAGATAAAGTCTAAGGAAGTCACACCACGTGGCAGGGTAGCCGGGAGTGGCTGTCTGGAGCCCAGCGGTGACTCGTCCACTCGAGTCCAAGGCCGCTTTTCCCAGTGACTAGTCCACCCCCGGCCCCAATTAAAGACTGAGAAGTAAGCTTTTGTTGGGGATCATAAACCACCACAGACATTACCTCCATTAAAAAGCAACTGCAGGCCCTTCCTGGTGGCGCAGTGGGTTAAAGCACAGCACTAAGAAGCTAAAGCCACTTCCGCATGAGTTCGATGTTCGATTCCCGCCTGCCCCGGAGGTGACCACATGGCGCGGCAGACCTCTCCTGTCCCGCCCGCTGCTCCCCTCAGCAGTCTACTTCGCCGATCTGCCTGTTCTGGTCCCCGCTCTGTCTCTGGTGAAGCCTCTCACCGCCCTGCACCTCTGGCCTGTACCCCAGTTCTGTATGCATAAATAAATAAATCTTAAAAGAAAAAAAAAAGCAACTGCAGTAAGACTTTGCTGAGGCCTCCCTGGTGGCGCAAGGGGTTAAGTCTCAGCACTGGGAAGCTGCTCACAGCCACTGCACCACGAGTTCAATCCCCGGGAGCTGACCCACATGGTGCAGCAGCCCTCTCCCGACCTGCCCGGTGCTCCCTCAGTAGTGTACTTCAGTCAATCCGGCCCGTTCTGCTCCCCACTCTGTCTGCTGAATCCTGTCATACCCCACACCTCTAGCCTGTACCCCAGTACTTGTATGTATAAATCCATAAAAATAAATCTTACCAAAAAGAGAAATTAAAAGATCCTTAGGTGCCAACTGCTAGGGCAAGGATCAGACCACTGTAGAGTGTCACAGGCACAGCCCAGACATGGGGAGCCGGAGACTGGGCATTGGGGAGAACCACTGCTGTTGACAAATCAAGCTATTCAAAGCCTCCCAGGGATGAGTCCTTCCGACGGAAAGGGGACAGGACATGGAGGGTGAGGGCCATTAGAGAGTTGCTGGTCCTTTTCATATTTTGCATATTTTAATTCAAAATTTTGTTAATTCAAAATTGAGTCGTGTGAACAACTCCACACAAGAACGAGCCCCTCCCAAAGCAGAGCCTGTCAGGGCAGTTTCTGCACAGGGCAGCAGCCCTCCTGCCCACCTGCGCCCCCGCAGGGCGTCTCTTCTCTGCTTCCTTTGCAAAGCAGCGGAGGTATCTCCTCTCCACCTGCCACCCTGCAGGCCTCTCCTTAACAAACCTGCCCCTTTCGGGGGCAGCTCTGCCATGTGTGGCTGTGCAAGCTTCCTTTACCCTGCCCACCTTTTTGGATAAAACATCTTTGTGGCATGGAGAAACCTGCCTGGGAAACTTGCCAGAGGCGCTGGTGAGACTTCTCCCAGAGTCAACCCAAGGACTCCGCTCTCTGAACCCAACATCTCCAAGACCGACTTCAGGTCCACTGACATGACATTCTAGGAGGGTGAAACTAAAACGGAGACCAGATGGTTCGATGTCGAGGATTACGGATGCGGGATGGGATGGGGAGTAAGCAGGGATGATGCGAAGAGTTGTGGGGGGGAGGGTTGATGCTGGGGCCATTTCAGCTGTGGTTATACAAGTCAAACACGGGTCAAGAGTCAGAGGCCTGTTGAGTCACAGAAAGGCCGGTTTTACTGTCCGATCATTTTTTTAAATAAAGCTGAAAATCAAGTCACATACCACAAAATGAAGGTGGTAAAAATACGCTAAGAAACCATGTATTTCTTAAACAGGTAAAACTGGCCCCCGTGATCTTATTTATGGAACTATTTTGCCCGTGTCCTTTGTCTCGCAGAGTGGAATTATAAACCACAGCCTCAACAACCCTAAATTAACAGATATTCTCAATCACATGAGTCTAACGAGTGTAGAGAAATTGGACTGCTGTGAAGCCAAGAAGCAAGCCGAGCGCCCCGCCCACACCCAGGCTTCAAGACAACAGCGAGCACTGTGACAAGCACAGACAGAGCCAAGACTGAAGAGACATCGACTGTTCTCGACTTTTAACTAGACACTTCCTGTAGTCAATTCAACCAGATGCATTCGACAGTTTTTTTTTTCCATAAATCATGTGTAAAATAATAGAACATATCGGTCTCAATTAAATAAAATAGAACAATTAAAATAATAGAACATCACGGTCTCAATTAACTTTCGTCTAATTTATTTGCATGCTGCTCCTATCAGCCACTTAATTCATGAAAATAAGCCCCTTTCTTAATGTATAGAAAGAGATGTAGGACCGTGTGGGTCACTGTCCTCCTCAGACAACAGGAGCAGAGTGAAGGGGTCATGCAAATTCCCCCGCATAATACACTCTTCAAGAACCACCTAAAGGTGCCAGCAGGCATCCCGAAGCCCAGTAGAAGGTTAATTTGATTTCAGAAAACTACAACTGTTATCAGTAAAACCTATGCTTTCAGTAAAACCTATGCTTCCCAGCATGGAGTGTCACTCATCCTGGAGACTACGTGGTTGGAAAATCTCCTGGTCAGTAAAAGGTGTCAGAGATCACATTTTGGGACTAGAAAAGCAGCTGTAAATTCGAAGAGAAAGTCCTGGAAGCGTGAGCACCACAGAATAAGTGAGACTGAAATTGAGAGCAACTGTCCAAATTCCTGGCTTTTAGCTAATCACCATTTGAGTGAGGGAAGTCCCGGAGACCCAACACACATGCACAAAAAAAAAACATCAGAGACTAGAGAGATGCCCGCTCTTGAGGAGGGAGCGACTCAGGGCCAGATGGGTGAGGGTGGCACTTTCCCTAAGCGAGGGCTCTGCTCCAGTTGGGCAGCTCGGCTGGCAGGAAGCTGAAGCCGAATGGGCTTGAAGGGTAAAACACCCCCAGCTCAAAGCCAGCAGGAGCAGAAAAGCCACAGGAAGCTTCACTTCAAGCCCCAGTCTTTGTGACCATCAAGCTTGTTGGCATAGGCAAAGCTCTTAAGCTAGATCAAAAGTCAAGAACTCCCGGAAAACACAACTCCAGAGCTGCTACCCTCTATCTGAAAGATCCAGTTTTCTACCAAACACTAAGCGTACAAAGAAATAGGAAAGTGTCATGCACACAATACAGACTGGGGACCTGCCTCAGGTCCCAAAGGTGACCGCGTTCCTGCTTTGTACATCCCATTTACAGCACCAAAGGGTGTCTTTTTGTTTCCACTGGCACCCACCTAAGATAAGGAAGCTCAGTGTGAAGCCCAATCACGATGCCAGTTCCCACCTTGGAGAACAGCTAAAACTTCAATACCAATCACTGGCAAACCTATGAAGCAACTGGAACTCACATATTACAAGCAGCAATAGATCTATAATTATTCCGTGGAAATATCTTTATTGTATCTAAAAATAAGGTGATCCACAAATAGGAAGTAAAACAATTGTTTTTTTCTAAACAAGGGAAGTGTTATTTTTTTTTTAAGATTTATTTATGCATACAGAGCTGGGGTGCAGGCCAGAGGTACAGGGGCAGTGAGAGGATTCACCAGAGACAGAGTGGGGAGCAGAACAGGCCGACTGATGAAGTACACTGCTGAAGGGAGCAGCGGGCGGGTCAGGAGAGGTCTGCAGCGCCATGTGGCTCACCTCTGGGGCAGGGATCGAACTCATGCTGAAGTGGCTTTAGCTTCTTAATGTTGTGCTTTAATCCACTGCACCACCAGGGAAGACCCCCAGTAAAACAATTGTTTTTTAAGTTCAAAAAGTACACCTGACAACTTTTCTTTCCTTTATTTTCTGGACTTGGTAATTGGTCAAACTAAGTGTTGAACAACTGTCGGTTGCCACTAATAATTCAGTTAATGGATGAAAACAATGTGGCCTCCTAAGTGGCTTCAAAGCTTTTGCACCAAACTCATAGAATTTGGTGAAAACAAAGGGGAAGGGAGGTTCAAGCACAGTGACCAGCCTCAGTCTCGGGTCCTTGTCCACAGCTGGCTTGGGGAGTGCCCTGGGAAGGAGGAGGCAGTCACCACCAGCCTGCTGTGTCCCATGAACAATACCCGGATATTACTGCCACCAACAACAGCAGTGAGACTTGGTGTCCCCAGATTGTGGCTTTCACATATCAAGTTAACACTCTTTGTACCTGTTAGTGGGACATCTGTGACACATAAGACTTTGCTGAAGAATAAGACCAGGCAGTTGGTAGAAAATGGTGGTGAAGGAGTCTTCTGGGAAAAGGGAGTTGTGAAAGGTTCCCTTCTATGTTAATTGTTCTCCAGACTCTTTAGTCTATCTAAAACCAAGGAGTAAAGAACTGAAAAAGTGAAGTGGAACCGAACCAACCTCTTTACCCCCCAACAAAAACCCAACTCAAAAACAGCTTCCCCATGGTAGTTTACTGGAATATTAAATTTTTGCAAAAATTCAAAACTTTATAAAAGCCAAATGAGGGAGGGTGGGTAGGCAGGGACCAGTGGGTCAGGGATGTTGACAGCCTTAAAAATTAAAGAAACTATTAAAACAATCCCTTCAGCAAAACAACACTAACTCAATGCTACCTCTAAATAAGTCTCTATAAATAAGTCGCAGTCTTACCCTAACCCTGTTATCATGGCCGACCTCCCTCCCTTCTGAGGTAATGTCTATAAATCTTGGCATCCAGTGTGCTTCACGCCACATGTCAGCTATTAGCAACAGTATTTTTCCTGACAGCTAATTGGTAACATTAAAGAAAAGAAATGAAAATCATTGTGCTTAGGAAGTCATTTTGCACCATTAACTGCAACAAGTATTTTAAGAGGGACAGGGCACTGCCTGGAATCAAAGAGGCACGCTTTTCAACCTGTTCACCAGAGCAGCGAGAAATGTGGTGAAATGAAATCCATACCTTGGGTAGTTTACATGACAGCTGGATTTAGGATGCTCCCTGTGCCAGAAGATTCTCTCCAAGCAAGGCTTGCGGGCCTGGAGTCCGCAGAGCCTGGAATGGCGAGGCAGGGGGTGGGGGGCGAGAGGGGATGAAGGGAAGGAGCAGGGGGTGCCCCCACACTGCCACACCTCTTACCTTTCATTTTGGTCGTGTAAAATCCAACAGCTGCTCCATCTTTCCACAGAATTTTAGCCTGCTCCTTCACAGAGTGAGGTAAAAAAAACATGTCATCATCATCCAAATTTCTCTCCAATCTTCCAAAAATAACGACGTTTAGAATGAAAAGCACAATCCTTTCTCCAAATGACTGAACCTTTGAAGACAAACAAAAAAGAACAACCCGGTAAGAGAAGAAATCAGATGTGGTAAATTCTGAGCTTGGAATCGATCCACACATTGGGGCCAGGTGTGGGCTCCACCGTAATGGGATTCTTCTTGTGCTTGAGAGCCAAAATGTGAATCATAGCTCCTTAAAGAGGTTACCACAGACCCTGACCTTTCACACCAATAGGCCTCCAGGAGTATGGGGCAGCGCCAAAGGAACCCCTGGGATCCTCAGTCACAGACGTGGAATGCAAGTAGACAGACATCTACTTGCCAATGAAACAATGAACAATCCATCTCTCGCCAATGAAACAGGAAGTTACCTCCAGAGGGATCAGGGAAAACATTTCAACAGTCACAGAATGTGTCCAGAAATAAATCCAATCCCCAATTTTAACAACAGCTCCATAATTCTAGTCCTCCATAATTCTAGAAGGTAGGGATATAATCGGGGGATCAATTGCTGCACCAAAACCCACTGATTTCCATGACTGTGATGAATTCTGAGCAGAATCCCAATTCCAAAGGATCACAGGGGCTCAAGGCCCACCCCGTTTTAGTCATGTGGGTGTCTGTCCCACACAACCTACACATCACCAGCAATACCACTGACAAGACTATGAATCCCAAACACATACTACCATCCAATTTTTACCACCTGCCAGGAGAAAAAAATGGGAGCTCCATGCGGCAGGTAATTGCATTTGTGGACTTTGCTGCCCTATTTCTAAGAGGACTCAAGACTTTGCCACACACAGGCAGATTCCAACTACAGGACAGGGCTTTGGGGTCCCAAGTTGGGGTACCTGCTCGTGCCCTGCTAGGCCCTCATCCTTTGCAATGGAGACTTTGGGAAAGGGGAGTTTGGTATAAATATTAACACTTATTTTTGTATTTAATTCTTGACTTTTACTTTTTTGTCATCATCATCACCATCATCACAGTCACTCTTGTTATTGCAATCATCACTATCACCATCATCTTCGCCATCATCATCACCTTCGTCATCATCATCAACCTCATCTTCAGCACCATCACCATCAACTTCACTATCATTTCACCATCACCATCATTATCATTACCAACACCATCACCTTCACCATCACTGTCATCACTATCATCATCATCACCATCATCTTCACCGTCACCTTCTCATCAACAATTCACAACCCTTGCGTGCCTCACTGTACTCTGCTGGTCAAGGCAGAGCACCTACGTGGTCTCTAAAACACTTGTATACTTTTTTAATGCTCTGATAATAAAAAAAGTAAGGCATTTTTCAACACCCTAGCAAATGGCACAAAGTGTTCAGTGCCAGTAAAGTTATTAATTGGCTCAGAATGTAAAATATTTCACCTTCATCTGGAGCCAAATTTTAGATGAGAAAAAGATTTGTGAAAGCCACCCCAACTTCATTCTGAGAAGTCACCACACTCTTGTATCTCAGACAGTGGCAGCCAAAGCAAATTCAGGCTTTCAGAATAACTAGCTGGTCACACAACCTGACTGGTGTGATGTGGGAGGTTAGAGACTTCAACTTATAAAACCAAAAAGTTCAGAAGAAAGCCAGAAGAGAAAAGCAGATTGCATCTGGCAGAAGGGAAATATCCAATCAAAAAACTGGCAGGAGACAAAGAAAAAGCACTTAATTTGTCCAATTTCATGAAGCAGGGGGTGTGTGACATGTGATTTCGACTTAGACACATTTCTGAAAACACAGAACTAAGATCCAGTTCTAATCCCTCTGTTAGGACCACTAATTATGTTAACTGAAAGAACACTAAGAATGTTTTCTTTGGGTACTCTGTGAAGAAGAGCTGGCTAGAAAACAAAATGTAATTAAAAGAAAAAAAAAAGTCAAGACCAAGAGTTCTTACGTGGAGAGGGGAACTTCCCCCAAATGCAGTTGGGACAGGATCAGGGTTTACAATATATCCTGTGAAGTGGAAAAAGCATCCAAGTTTCTCTCTGTTTACAACAGAGACCACATTTTCAAAAATGGTGGGGGGTTCCTCATCTAACCTTAGAAGAACTGACACATGAGGAAAGTAACTATGCTTCGGGGGGGGGGGAATTATTAAGAGTGAACCGATGCTCCCAGCATTCACAGCACCCAACCACAAAACCAACATGGCCCACCATGTGGGTCAACACAAATGGGTAGACTGGGCAGCCCAACCTGGTTCATCACCCTCACATGATGAATCTTTCTTCCAACCATTGTTAATTTGCTGGAAGAAAACCCTTTTCAAAATTATCTATCAAATCCAATAAAACTAGATCTGGAATGGGATCAGAACTGGAGTGAGAAGAGTGCACTGGACTGTGGTGATGGCACAGGGGTGAATTGGTGATGGGAGGCCCATGGGGATTGCAACTGAGATGGAAAATGCACAAAATGAAGAATGATGTAAAAATAGTAACAATAATAATAATAAACTATATCTGAAAGCAACCTGCCCTACATGACAATATAGATGAAGCAGAAGGATGTTATGCTAAGTGCAGTAGTCAGCGAAAGACAAGAAATAATGATCTCGCTTCTATGTAGAATCAAAATAATCTAAACTCAGAAATAGAAACTACAGTCACAGTTACAAAGGGCTAAAAGATGTCAGGGGGTAGAGTGGAATCAAGATGTTGGTCAAAGTGCACAAACCAGTTTGGAAAGAATGCATTCTGGGGATCTGGTGTCCAGCACAGTAACTATGCAGCTAACAGCACTGCATTGTATACAGTCTACCCTTGAAAAACAGACTTGGACTTCAAGGATTCAGTTACATGTGGATTTTCTTTTCTACCCAAAGTCTCCACATTCACAGATTCAACTAACCACAGATTTCAGCTGAATCTAAAATTCTAAAAATGCAGAACCCACAGATACAAAGAGTCAATTGCAAGGACTTGAGGACCTTCAATTTGGGAATCTGTGGTGGTGAGGAGCGCTGGAGGAATACTACGGGGTCACTATACCTGACGCTTTGGAAGAACAGTAGGACTTAGATGTTCTTACCACAAAAAAATAGTAAGTATGTACAGGATACAAGGGGTGTTAGCTAAAGCTACAATGACTTGATACACAGGTATTTTCCAACAGTATGATTGAATCAAATCAACATCTCCATCTTAAAAATTACACAACGTTATCTGTTAATTATAACTCAAAAGAGGCTGGTGGGGACAGGGAAGACAACCCACAGAATGGAAGAAAAACAACTTGCAAATGATATATACAATAGGAGACTTGCATCAAAAATATGTGAAAATCTCTCACAACTCCACAGTTAAAATGTCAACCCCATCAAAAAATGGGCCAAAGATTTTGATAGCTACATTTACAAAGAATATATACAAATGGCACAGAAAAAGTATTCAACATCCTTAGTGCCAGGGAAAGGCAAGCAAAAGCACAATGAAACACCACTTCCCACCCACTAGGAGAACGTAAAACAAGACAGACAGCACAACGTGTTGAGCCATGGCAAGAGAAAGACATTAGACGATGCCATCGAAATGCAAGATGGTGCAGCTGCTGAGGACAGGTGCAGTAGGTGCTCAATATATTTAATGTAGTCACCAGGTGAGTGGACTTTCTACTTCCGGGTAGCGAGGCAAGAGAACTGACAGTGTATCTCCTCATACAACCTTGTCCTTCAGTGCTCAGAGCAGTGTAGTTCACAATAACCAAGAAGCAGAAATAACCCACATGCCCATCACCTGTTAAAACAGGTCAACAGATAGGGTAGAGCCGTTCAACGGAGTATTACACCACAGCCATAAAATAAATGAGGCCATAAAAGTGAATGAAGCCCTGGCATATGCTACACCGTAGATGAAAGGACCTGACGCAAAGGGCCGCGTGTTATATGATGCCACTGATGTGAAATGTCCACAACAGGCAGATCCAGAGAGATAGAAAGTAGATTAACATTGCCACGAGCTGGGAAAGAAGGGTGTGAAGGGTGGCTTCTAAGGAGCAAGGGGAAGTCTATTTGGAGTGACAAGAACATTCTGAAATTAGATAGTGATGATCCATGCAAAATCTTGTGAATGTACTGAGATTTAACGATTTGTACACAATTTAAAAGAGTGAGATTTATAGTAGGTGAATTATATCTTGATGAAGCTACTGTTTGGGAAAAAACAGATTTATCTGAATTTGGATTTTTTTGAAGTGCTCAACACTAAGAGTGGACCTGAATTATCAACTTATCCTCCAAACCAACCCAGAGAATAATGATATTTCATAATGTATAGGTTCCCATCAGAGACCAAGTAGCACCTCAGGAAGCTGTGGCTACAGCCATGAATTCAAAGACTGCCAAGAAATGTCATCTCTCTCCAACTGTGGAATTATAATAAACAATCCAAGCACATGAAAACAGGTAGGTATGACATAAATAGCTCAAATTCCCCACTGGATACTATCTTCTCCATTGCCTTTGCACCAACCAACCTTGAGCCAGGAGGAATCTTCTTGGACCTTTGAGGAGCTGCTATGGCCTTCTCCCTTGTCATCCCAGGTCTGTGCTTTACCACTGTTCTACAAAGGCACAACACTGCTTCAAAGACTGCCTAGCCTGATGCCAAAGAGACTGAATTTGTGTCCAGTTAAATCACTTACAGGGTACATAGCTTAGCCTTGATTTCTTCATCAGCAAAACAAACACCTTGGAAATTTGAGAACTCAGTAACCGCTATAAAATGTCCAGGGAAACACAGTGTCTAGCTCTGAATAAATGCCAATAAACATTACTTGAACACACTAAGAAGAACTTTCCTACATGCTGGGAAGACAGTAGAGATTAGTGTAAGAAGTAAAATATGAGAGGCTCAAGAAGATATAATAGATTTACCCATAGCCAGAAACAGATATGAGTTGCATACAGCCATTTATTACTGTGTTCATGCTGCAGGGTGTTATGGCTTGAATTCTGTACCCCAAAACGGTGACTCCTGCCCCCTCCCCAGTCTATGTTAACGTGATTTACTTGGAAAAAGGGTCTTGGCAGGGGGTCAAGGCAGGCTGTCGTTGATATAGTGGACCCAAGTCCAATATCACTGGTGTCCTTACCAAAGTGTGAGAGAGACGAAGAGAGAGAGAGAGAGAGAGAGTGTGTGTGTGTGTGTGTGTGGACGGGTTTGGACAGAGACAGACACACACAGGAGCAAGACAAAGTGGGAGACACCATGAGTATGTCATCTATTAGCTGAGGGGTGCCCAAGGCTACCAGAAGCTAAGAGGAAAACTTGGGTCCGATTCTACCTCTAAAGCCTCAGAAGGAACCAACCCTGCCTTCACCTTGACTTTGGATTTCAGCCTCCACGACTGTGAGACAATACATTTCTGATGTCTAAGCCACCCAGTCTATAACACAGACTGGGATATACCTCACAGGGGGAACCTGTGTGCTTTCATGCATTAATGTGATCATAATCAGGCAGCTTCTAAAAACTGTTTTGCCAGACCCTCCCTGGCGGCACAGCGAGTTAGAGCACAGCACTAAGAAGCTAAAGCCTCTTCCACATGAGTTCAATTCCTGCCCCTGAGGTGACCCACATGGTGCAGCAGACCACTCCTGACCTACCTGCTGCTCCCCTCAGCAGTGTACTTCATCAGTCTGCCTGTTCTGCTCCCCACTCTGTCTCTGGTGAATCTTCTCACTGTCCCTGCACCTCTGGCCTGTACCCCAGTTCTGTATGCATAAATAAATAAATCTTTCTAAAAAAATTTTTTTTAAAAAGCTGTTTTCCACTGTTTGGAGGTGGAAAACTGCTAAACATGGAGCTTCCCTACGACCCAGCAATCCCACTCCTAGGTATCTACCCAAAAGACACAAAAACACTGATTGAAAAAGATACCTGCACCCCCATGTTTATTGCTGCTTTACTTACAATTGGAAAAACATGGAAGCAGCCCAAATGCCCAAAAGTAGATGACTGGATAAAAAAGATGTGGTACAAATATACAATGGAATATTACTCAGCAACCAAAAAAGAGAAACACATGTCTGTTGCAGCAACTTGGATGGAGCTGGAAAAGATCATGCTTAGTGAGATAAGCCAGAAAGAGAAAGAAAAATACCGGATGGTTTCACTCATAGCAGGAGTATAATGGACCAGGCGAGACAATAACAAAAATAATGAACAACCATATACCAGAGACATTCTGTGGGGGCGGAGTGGGGAATGGGATCAAAAATGGGGGGGGTAGAAGGGGGGAGAGGGGGTAGGGAAGTGCACGGGATTATGGTGATGGCACACGGGTGACATGGTGATGGGAAACGCGCAGGGATTACAATTGAGATGGAAAAAAATGTACAAAATGATGTAAAAATAAACTGTTATAAAATAATTTTTAAAAATTAAAAAAAAAAAGCTGTTTTCTCATTCCACTTCTGTCTACAAGGCCTCACCTTCATCAGACCTTGTCTTGCAGGGTCACAGGTTCTCAGCACATCTTCAGTAGCCCACCAGGACGCCTTTATGTAAACGGCCACAACTACAGAGAAAGTCAGAGAAAATGACATGCAGACCGCAGCCTCAGCACAGCAACACGCAGCCCCTGGGGAGCTGCAGGGAGACGCGCCCGACCAGGACCCATAGCTCGCGCCCTCCCGGAAAGGGCTTCTCAGGCGTCTTCACGGGTGGCGCCCTATTGCGCTCCTACGCTGTTGGACAAAAAGGAGACACACCCCATTGACAAATTCAGAGGGTAAGAATTACATTTCGTCCCTGAGTCTAAAGATGTGCCAACCATTCTCCACCATGTGGAAGTCCCCAATGGAGCGGCCCCAGCATCATTGAAGGGCATGGAATTAACCCTCCTGACCTGGCCCTGGGGCTGGGCTGGGCTGGGCTGGCCGCTGGTTGCTTGGACAGGATTTTCCTTCACTTCACAATTCAACTATCCCCTGAGTTTTCCTGAGGAGAACACAGAGCTAAGAGGTGAAGTAATTTGAAGGCGACAACCAAGAGAGCCTCGGGTGAGTCCAGCCTGGGCCACTGAGACTCCAAGTTCTTTCCAAAAGGCTGGAGAGAGAGTCGGGGTTAGAATGGGATTAATCGGGCCCTCCTTGGGGCGCAGTAGGCTGAAGCACAACACTGAAGCTGTCCATAGCCACTGCAGTGCGAGTTCCATCCCCTGCCAGGGAGCTGACAGCTCCTGGCCCGCCCGCTGCTCCCCTCAGCAGTGGATTTTGTCGCTCTGCCTGTTCTGCTCCCCACTCGGTCTCTGGTGGGTCCTCTCACCCCCTGCACCTCTGGCCTGTACCCCAACTCTGTATGCATAAATAAATAAATCTTTTTAAAAAAGAATGAGATTAATCATGCTGGGAAGTGGGGTGTCTCGAAGAAGAAGGCTCAGGGCTGGGATCTGCAGAAAAAGAATAGTGATATCCCTCCCTCTAGCACCTACTTCTTCAGCCGGATGTCTGATCCTGGGGGCCTTGGAGCCACTAAATGAAAAGAAGCATCTTCCCAGTCAAATTTTTTTGCCTAAAGACTTGGAGGTAAATGTTAACATGAAATAGAAAACAACAGTCATTTGAATGTTTCATATAAGACTAGAGTCTTGAGAACAATTTTTGTGAGTCAATCAGGCCACACTGCCACCATTTCCCCTATGCTCCTGCCCTGTGAGGAATTTTAGGAGAAAACTCTGTAGGCTCCAAGGACATTAGCCAATCATCAAACATTAACTCCACACAGACAGTCCCTCTTGTCCTCAGACCAACAGCATCGAATCCACTATGTCAGTTTCATAGCACTGGCAAATTAGATCATCTCGACAATATTCCAAAATTGATAGAGCCTGCTGAGAGAGAAGAGTCAATTAAATGCTTGACATCTGCCTTCATTTATTCAATGAAATTCATTTTCAAAACGGTAACTACTAGAATTTATAGGGGTTTAAAAAGCCCCAAGGATTATTTTCCTGCTTAACAAGGTGAATCGATAAAAGATGTTGAGCTTACGAATACATGTATTACTGTAATACAGATGTTCAATTCACTAAGACGGTTCTGAACAGGAAACACATTGAGATGTGATGTTTGTATGGTGCCTTACAAGTTTCACGGTGCACTGCAAAGCAGTAATTAGTCACACAACTTGTCACAAAATAGAGTGAACTGTGTATTTTTTTTTCCTAAAACTAATCTTAAGCTGCTAAATATACATGTATAATAATAAAGGTCAAGTCCAATCAAATTTAGCAGACCTAAATGGTCCTCAACACCAACTCTTGAATAACAGGATCAGCGTTCAGGAGAATGGCAGCTTTTGACAGAAAAGCCTGGTACCTGCTTAAGGGGAGCAGGAAGGGGAATTGGTGGCAACCCTTGGAAAGAAGCTGTACCCAGCTCAGCAAGGACAAAAGCCAGGCGTCACAGAACCAGCCTTGGGGCAATGCTCCTGAGACTTCGCAGCCAGAGTGTGAAAGCCCAATGCACACATCTGAGGTTTGGGGGAAAAAATAGACCACCACAGTGCTGGTCAGAACCCTGTGGCTCTCCGCCTTCCAGGGGATGGCGATCAGGGCTCCTCACAGGTCTGCCTCCTGCACCAATTCCACTCCCCATCCTGAAGTGGCAGGCAACGTGGACCACAAGATGTCAGTCATGGGTTTCATTCTAGGACACTCCAACGATCTCCAAACAAGACAGTGAGGTTCCCTAAGGCCAACTCCCAGTGGCCTGGCTTCACCCAGCATGACCAACTGAATTTACCACCCTTGGCCAAGTTCCTGATACATGAACGGCGCGGCCCTGGGCCCCCGGAGGCGGATGAGTAAGTCTCCATCCTTGCCCTGGGAGTTGGCAGGAGGCAGCAGAAGTAACTAAACAAGCTGCTCCGGTGCCGGGCAGGGCACGAAAGGTGCTAGAATCCAGCCGGGAGCCAAAGTGTCATGAGGTCCCAGGGGAGAGAGTCAACTGTGCTAAAGGGAATTAGGGACGCATCGCTGGGGAGTGCCACCCCCGGCTCTGCGTCCTTGTGGGCGAGGTTTCAGCAGGCAGAGAAGCTGTGAGTGGGGTAATGCAAGGGCAGAGACACAGAGCCCTACCAAAGTCAAGGCCAAGGCCACACTCAGGGCAGCCCAAGTAGTGGAAATAGCTTAGACCTAAATCAAGGAGCAGCTGGGCTACAAAGATGACAGACAGCAAGGTAGCAGGGTACAAAAAGTCCATCACTACAAAAAGTCCATCACTTTCCATAAATCAGCAATGAAAAAGGGAAGCTGGAAATGAAAAATGCAATACTATTTGGGGATACATTATCTCCCACAAAAATGAAATATTTAGGTATAAGTCTTGGAAAACACGTAGACGGTGCATTTGAGAAAACTATAGAACTGGAATTAAAGGACTAAATAAATGGAGGGCTAGATCCTCCCTCCCCTGTTGTTACGAGGATACTTCTTAACTTGAGCTTATAGAGTCAGTGTGACACCATCAAAATCCGGGCCAGTTAGAACAGCTGGTTCTAAAGTCTCTATAGAAAGACAAAAGACCAGGGTGGCCCACAGGATGTAGAGGAGAAATGCTGGAGGACGAATGCTACTAGACTCTACGACTTAAGACTTACTGCAGAGTGACCGCAGTCAAGACAGTGTGTTACTGCTGACGGGCAAATAGATTGGTAGACCAGGAGACTGGAGATAGAGCTCCACTGACTGAGACAACAGAACTTGAACCAAGGAGCAATACATAGAGCAAAGATCATCTTTTCACAAAATAGTGCTGAAGTCACTGAAATTGACAAGGATAAAAAATGGACCTAGACAAAGACACTTCATAAGCCCCATCTCAAAACAATCAGGAGCTTCATTCATTCACCAGATGCTAGCAGGGCACAAAATGACACAAAGCCTTTTAGTCAGGACCCTCTGTTCCTAGTGTAGGGAAAGGATGTAGACGCCCGGCCAGAGGGGGCTCAGGTGTGGCTTCTGCAATTACCAGTTGGGTGACCTTAGCCCGCCCCCGCCCCCAGCCTTGAGTTCCCACCTGCCGAATGGAAACCACAACATCCTCTCAGCTGGTCATATGTGGGTGAAGTCAAAGAGTTCACCTCACCCAGCTGCCTTCCTAAGGTATTGAAGTTACTCTGCGGTTTCTAGAAACTTCCTCCACCTGCTTCAAGGATTGCTCTGGGATTTCAAAAAGGAATGGAAAATGCTGTTATCTAGTGGCTTTTACAGTGCAACAGTGGAATAACAGGCGGCTTGGTGGCCGCCAGGGCCTTCCTCGCCAGGCTCTGCACTCTGGCCTGTCTTTGTGGTTCAGCCCCTGCCACTCTGGGTGCTCCTGGGGTGCCCATCTCCCCCCGGACACACACCCCTTTCTCACCACTGTTCCTTTTCCTCACTCAGGGGCCATTCTGTTCCTCACGCTCCCTAGGGGGTGTGGACAGTGGACACACATTCTGCTGATGAAGACACCCACCTCCCACCAAGATTTCTAAACCTTTTGTCTTGCCTAAGACTTTTTAAAGGCACAAAGCCCTTTTCTTGCTTGAACACTTTTCTCTTCTCAACAGTAAACAAGAAAAACTATCATTTTTAAAAGTCAGCATGATTTTACCACACACAGGTCAGAGCAGCTGATTATCACAGGCCCCTCAGCCAACAGGCAGTAACAGTGGGGAGCCGCCCAAGAACAGTTCCGAGGACCCCCTCAGCCAGCAGGACGGGCCAGCCACGCCCCATGTGCAGTGGCCGGCGTCCGTGCCGTCTGTCCATCTGCTGCTCCGTCTACCGTCCTTTCCCACCCAGTGCAGTGGACAGCAGAAGGCCGGAGGGCCACGGGGCCCTCCAGACATCAGGGCACTGGGGCTCATGGTCACCCACATGCTGAGGACAAAACCCATCGTGAAGCCACTCAAGGAATTAAATGCAAGTGCTAGCGTAAAACCTTACACGGGAGAGGAGACAGCCTGGGACAGAAGCAGAAGGAGGGAAGTCAGAGCCACACAGTGGGCTGTGGAGCAGAGGCCATTCCGATCCAGGCTCCATGGAGGGTCCAGAACTGCACCGAGAGTGAACCAGGCCCAGTACTGGGTTGGGGGGTGCGGGGGGACACAGAGGCGGGAGCTGCGGGAGTGGGGGCAGCCGTGAGACCATCCCAGCCCTGCCGGGCGCCCGGCAGAGGTCACTGACCTGCAGGAACAGCGGTCACCACGCCCCACGGCCCAGCCCGGCCAGCATCTGCCAGCAGCGGGGTCCGCGCCGCTCACGCATCCACAGCCAATTCTGTTTTCAGGAGCAGCTCAGAGGACGCAAGAAACTGCTGAAGGTGCCGCATCTGTAACCGGGAGCGTGAGGGCCGGCGTGACCAGGTCTCGCTGGTTCCAGGCCCTGCGCCCACCGCTCAGCTTCAGAAGAGGAACGGACAGAAACAAGAGGGCAGAAGTGGGGACCAGGCCCCCC